CGATTTTTTCGGTAGCCGTAACCGAGAAAATCCGCATCCATGCGCTGTTAGAAAATTAAAAAAAATATATTAATACTTAAAAATATTAACATTTAAAAATAATATTAAACATTATTCAAGTTAATAAAAATTACTCTTTTCAGTCAAACATTTTGAGATGGTATTCATTGTAATTATTAAAAAATGCTATTCAAAGAAATGGGTTTTTTATCATCTATTTAAAAGAAAGTTTATTTATCCAATTATAAATACATACAGTTTTGTCAATTATTTTATATGTAAATATAATAAAAAAATATCTACTTTGTAGCCACCAGACATTTAATTTAATATTTATTTAGAATTGTAAAAAATTTAATAAAAATTACTCCTCATTTTTAATATTTTTGTATTTCAAATTTATTTATACCTCAAAAAAAAAATACTATTTTCTATTTAATAAAAAGCGAGTATTTAACTTCTCGCTAAAAAAATACAAAAATTTTTCAAAAATTGGTAATCGATTTTTTCGGTAGCCTGCACCGAAAAAATCGGTAGACTCTACCGAAAATAATCGGTAGCTGCTACCGATAAAAATCGGTTGAGGGAACCGATTTTTTTTCGGTAGAGACTACCGATTTTATCGGTAGAGTCTACCGATTTTTTCGGTAGAGTCTACCGATTGGCAATCGGTAGCTGCTACCGATTGCCAATCGGTAGCCTCTACCGATTATTTTTTTCCGTGTGTATAGTAGTGTTTTTAAAATTAAATTGGCATTGTTTTTGATTTCGAACTTTAAAACTTTCAGTATAAACAAACATGGCACTGTTAGAATTCTATGATCAACAAAATGCGCCTTTGAAACTTAAAACAAACATTGATCTTATAGCTCTTTTTATAGAAATACTTGTTGGACACTAGAAGAATAGCTCCAACATACAATAGCATATGGAATGTATTGAATATAAGACTTAAAATTTGAATAATAAAACGTCTTACAAGTTGAAAGTCTTAAAAGTGCAAAGCAATATTTGGATAGATATTTTTCTACAAACTATAAAATCAAATAGGTGATAAACATAGATTTTGTATTTTCGAAGAAGAACATTGCATAATAATGATTTTTCTTTGATTTAAATACAAATGGGAGCTATTAAGATTATTTAAAAGGGTTGTTACATTTGTTTGTACCTGATCTGTAATGCTTTCTAAACTTTGCCTGAATCCAATATATATATATATATATATATATATATATATATATATATATAAAACTATAGTTAGGTAGATAATCTGCATATTTTTAGTGCCTTGAGATTTGTACTGTTATCTGTAAAGATATTTTTGCCGTTCATAACGAATTATTTTTTTAGTGAAAAGATAACTTTTAAAATTTTTGTTACAGTTTCCTCGACCATAACGCATCATGGCAACTAACAACAATATAAAAAGTGTCAAATTTGTTACTTTAACCATAGATCTATGAAGAAAAACTAAAGAAATATTAACATTAAATTGACACACACACTGGCTAAATGACTTGCATTTTTAAGCATTCTCCAAACACAACAAATATACTTAATGAGTATTACTTACTAAAGGAATACATATTAATATTTAACAAAAATGCTATGACTGAATCTAATTTCTATGGTGTGATGTCAACATTGTTAAAGTAAAAATCATAAAATGCAGATGAAACATTAACTCTCAAATAAAAATGCTTTTGCAATTTTAAATAATAAAACTAAAAGTATGATCTTATATTAAGCATAAACTGAATATATTGCAAGATGCTTTATATTTTTACGAAATAAACTTTTTACAACCAAGCTATACAATATATAATATGTATCCATAATTGAGTTTGTAAAGTTTATATTCGGCGTCAGACTTCACATTAAATATAACTGGAATTTTATATTAATTTTATCCCCAATGTATTGATTTTGCTTAAAATTTAATTTTAGCGATAGTAAAAACATATGTGAACGATTTATAATTTTTTTATTATAATGCATCATTGGTAGGGTATAAGCCATAATATATTTTTATGTGAAAAACATTTAATAAAAGTGATTTTACTTACCTGATATAAGTTTATTTTTAAACAACAACTTCTTGTTTTTGGGAGCTTACGTTTTATACGCAGTAATATATTTTTGCAATTACTATTTTTTTTTTCAAGCTCGGTGCTTTAATGAGATACTTTATCTCAGCCAAAATTTTGATTTTATAGGTTGGCTATACTTTAAACAGCATAATATTTTGCATATTTGTTATAATATTTTTATGCACGCACTCGTCCATTAATTAAATTGTCCGCGTGCGACAAAATGACGTCTTATGACATTAGTTGTTTAATATACTATTATACAGCCCGTTTAGAGTTAAACCGAATATAGGGAAACGTATCGGGCGTGGCCTTGTCTCCCTCCAACGCGCGACACAGTAGCTAAGCAAATCTGCCCTACTATGGAGAAAGGTAGTAAATACAAAAAAATTCTAAATGCGTTTTCTTGTGCTATGATAAAGCTATGGATATTATATATATTTTGTACATTATTTCAACAAAGAAATGCAGTAAACCATCTCATAAGTTAAATAAATCGATTAAATACCTACTGCTTTTAAAAAAAATGTTGTTTAAACTTAATTCCCGCAAATTTGTTGTTTAGCAGTTACTCCCTTTCTCCATAGTTGGGCAGAAATAGCTTGCACCGCTAATGAGGTTTTTTGCTTTATTATCATTTAATTTTACCTGCTCGACCTTTCGTCATGTCGTTTATCAAACAAGCTACTGTGACGCGCGTTGGAGGGAGGCGAGGCCACGCTCGATACGTTTCCCTATATTCGATTTTACTCTGAACGGGCTGTATAAGTGTATATAGAAAGTTCAAAATTATTATTAACCTCCGTTCAGAAATAAATCTAAAATGTCATGTCCGGTGAAACTAGACAATCAACAATTGTTAATTGGTCAGTTTGAGTAACTAAAGTAAATAGACAATTCCAATTAAATTATTTAACTAAATAGTCAATTTAAGAATTAAAAGAAAATTTTGAATTTTTTAACTTAAAATTTATTGTCAGGTTAGCAGTTGTAATAGTATATTAGCAGTGCAGGGCTCTCACACTTTCTACCCATGTAGTGTATACTATTTTTCTTACTACCTCGACTGAAAATTCACTATTTACTATTAGTCTTAAATAATATTCAATATTAACAATTAGTTAATTAACTAATTGAAAACAAATTTTGAGGTTATATTAGTGTCGTAATCAGAGTTGCATATGTTGAGTACTAGTGCACACGACTAAAAAATTTTTACTCCCGCTATTATAGAGGGTGCGCGTATAGCTTGACCAATGCATCAAACGTAAACTTTCTGCCGTAGAATCGGGGACGAAACAACGTATTTTCAGTCGAGGTAGTAAGAAAACTTAATTTATTTCTCAAATTGACAATTTTTTTAAGTATTAATAAATAGAAACCCCATTCAATCAGATGGATAAATCAAAGTTGATCTTTTTTGAAAGAATATAGTATGCGGAAACTTGATTAAAGTTGAATAACATGAATTAAATTTTTTTCCTCGGATTTTTCGAAAAAATTGGTTTTGGTAAGAGATATTCTAAACTATTTTTTTCAAAAAAATCAAAATCGAAACCCACTTTTCAAAAAAAAATTATAGGAATAAGTACAAATTTGTAGATACCCTTGTTCTTAACAAGGAAACTTGACGTTGTCAACACTTTTGCCCTACTAAAATGCAGTATCTGCGTAGATACGGTATTTCAACAGGTTTTACGTTATAGAGAACGAATTTAAAGTTTCATATGTATGAAATTAAAATTTTTAATTTTTGCATTTATAAAAAAAGGCTTTTTTTTAAAAGCCTAAAACGGTTGTTTTTATTAAAAACAGCATACAGTGAAATGCAGTGAACAAACCAAGTACTAACACAAATGGTTAAATGGAAGAAAAAGTACCTATTTGTTTTAATATAAACACAGGAGTAACGCAAGAATCTGTGCTTGGTCCTGTGCTATTTATCATCCACACCAATGATCTAACCTTGTGTGTAAAAGCTATAAATACATGTCTATAGATATTTCTATATAATTATATGTCATCAGCACATAATATATATATTATAATATATATATTATGTGCTGATGACACCTCATTGCTAGTAACAGGACCCACAGAAGCAAACATCTGTCAGAAAACTGAAAGTATCCTGGAAAATATACTAAAGTGGTTTAATACAAACAAACTTAGGCTAAATAAAGACAAAACGCGGTATTATGCTCCACACCTCAAAGTCCCACCATGTGACTACGTACGGAACGCAGTCTTTTGAAAATTTGGCATTTCAGGTTTTGATCTGTCAAAGTATAGTCAACGAATTAAATCAATAGCTACCTCAGAAAATAAAACTCTATAATTTTAATACATTTGAAAATACTGTTAAATCTATGCTAGTCAATATGTGCCTGTACAATGTAAAACACCTTTTAAATTGTGATATATCTATATATGTAGTTTGGTCCATGTATTTCTATTTTTTTATCAAGTAAGTTTATTAGTATTATTTATTTTACGATTGTGGTGGTAATAATATGATTCAATATGTTTTAAAGAGAATTACTATCTGCAGAGGTAGCCAAGAAAGACATTTAGCCAACATTATTTTTAAAACATTACTTCCATTTTCTCTTTATCTTGTCGTTCTTTTTCAAAAATTATAGATTTGCCAAATTACCTTTAATTATGTGATATTAGTTAACCGCAAGTAGTTAAATAATACAAAAAATTAGTTTTATTATTTTCTATATTGTTCATGATTCCTGTATTCCCTGTATTATCGTCCCCGCACAGTAAAAGCTTATATTCCAGACATACTATTTCATAACTTAATTAATGTTAACGTTATTTTTTTATTTTAATTAAAACTTTAAGCTTCACCGCAAAACTTTTTTAATGTTGATTTAAAAAATTCTCTTTTATTTACAGACGTGAACCAGAGTGGCACCATCGATAGGAAGGATTTTGAACTGGCAATAGAGGTAATGTTTACTTTACTAACCCAATAATGTTTGTAGAGTTTCGAGGCCAGCGTAAAGCGATTAAATCTTGTATGTGGACCAAAGATAGGAGGGGCTTATTAAGAAATTATTTTTAAGCGTTCAACAAAATAATCACGGATTAGTTATTGCTTAGGGAGAAGTCCCAATTTCGAAACTTTGAATCGGCAAAATGTATGTTTATCTGCAATTCAAATGCAAAAGTACTTCAGGAAAACTTTTTTTAATATCTTTTAAATGTGCAATACCATGTAAATTAAACTTTAAATTACATTCTTTTGTAGGGATAATGTAATGGTAGGGGCAAAAAATTCAAATTTCTTATTTTATTTCATAGGGGCTTCGTTTTTTTTACAGGATGCAATTATTCTATATTCTTTTTTAATATAACTTAACTTAATATTGTATAAAATGTTTTTAAAACAGTGTTTACAGGGTGGTACAAAAGAAACATTAAATAACTTTCTTCAATATGAACTGTCAATCAACTGTTAATTTCGGAAATGTAAAAAATATTATTAGATAATTGACAAATATTCTTTAGTAGGAGTTTTTTTTGTAAATCGGATGCTTATAAAAAAGGAATATTATCACCTCAGTAGTGATGCCACTGTTTGTATTATGAACATTATTTGAAAATTATTTGCCCAATAAAAAAATCCTTATAAAATTTTAACATAATATGTTCTTTCGTTTGTGTGAAATTTTTTTTTCAATATAATATATTTGCATATTATGCAATTTTTATTAGTTTTCGATATAAGTTTATTAAGAAAATTAAAATTTTTTAAACGTTTTGTATTCAATCTGAAATTATTAAAGGTCCCTTTTGTACGACCCTGTATAATATACAGGGTGTCCCATATTAAGCTTGCAATACTTATATAGATAGGAAGTTAGTTTTAAAACCACCATTACTTTTTTGTACGTGTTTTATGCTAGGATTTGATTTTAGATTATGAAACTTCACACAAACTTACACATAAAAAATGTCCTCTTGTTAAACTTTAATATTATGCACTGTTTTCGCTTAAAATGGATTTATGCTTGTTTGGGGGTCATCTTTAAAATAGTTTAAGGCATTTTCAATTTCATGATTCCTATGGGTTCGCCCCTGCCTTCGAGCTCGTTCAAAGTTGCCATTTTCCGTCAAATTTTGATGTGTGCGGTTTAACATTTGATGTATAGGAGCTTTTTCGTTTGAGCCCGGGCCCGTCTGCTTTGCGCAGTAGCGCATCAGTACGTTACTGCAGTTATCCGTCTAAGTTGTCTACATATGAAAACATTTCAAAAAAAATATTCTTCATGAAAAGTTGGACTTCCTTAAAACTTAATATTAAACTATTAAAACTTAAAATAGCAAGAAGGATAATTTATAATGTGCTCAAGGGAAAAGAGCCCTTAATTTTTATTTTAGAGAGAAATAAAATAGGGTTAATAATAAAGTTATACCTAATTAAATCCATTACCTTTAATAAAAAGTAGGTATTTATTAGTTATTCGACATTTTAGAAACATCATTCCAATAGTCTAATATTACTTTTTATAAGGAGTATTTTTTATATTAATTAATAATAAAAAAGTTCACTAAACAAAATTGTCTTTGCAAATTCAACATCTTGTTGCCTTGCAAGAATCCAATTAACAAATTCCCGGCGCATTGCATGCAACAACATGAACAACTGGGATTAGCTTCAGTTTTAATTGAATTTTGTATGGATGCAAATAAAGAACTTTTGTTAAAATTTGCTGTAAACTGCTTCTCGAAATAGCAACTTCTTGAGAACGATGACGAATCGTGATTCCAGGATTTTGGAGAATTAGCACGGCAGGAAATTGGACGAAATTCTGCGTAGCATTCTTCATATTTATAATGAGTCTTAACAATAATAACACGTTGTTCTAGTGAATACCGATACTTAACTTAAAATCGGAATGTTTTTTACATTACAGAAATCATATTTTCAAGGTTACACTTAAAATGGAAAAACAGAAATAATATTAATCGTCGTTACAAAAATATTTTTTCATGGGATATCTTTACTTATTTTGAAAGACAAGTTAATTTGAAAAATAAAAAATCATTATTTCATAACTAACCTATCAATACAAATAAACAATTGAGGAGCATCCGTGCAAAACCGGCTATATCCACTTTAATAAAATGTTGGGAAAATGGCAAAAACTCTCGGTTTCCTGGCCTTTACAGATAAAAGAAAAAGCAAACTTGAGTTTGTGGGCTTTGTGGTACTTGATTTATAAGACATACTTTCGTTTTCAAAAACTTTAAAAAATGTTTTGTATATAACCGGTTTTGCTCAAAAACCGAATAAAATGTGAAAAAAAGCCTTTATTTTTCAAAAATATTAACAAAATAAATTTAGTGCAAACATGAACAAACAGAACAAATTTTAGTAGTGGTATCGACATATTAAAGTCACATGCTCATCATCATTATTATTTATTGGATATAGCCGGGTTTGCTATAAAAACGTGGATTTGGCCGGTTTTGCTCCTAAAGCTACCTTTTAAATGTGATTTTAACATGGATATAGTCGGATTTAAACAGAATTATCTGGGTTGTCGATAGAAATGAACACAAAGATGCGAAATCAAAAAAAACAAAAACTGAATAAAATGGACTTAGCCGGTTTTGCACGGATGCTCCTCAATTAATAGGCACTTAAACTTTCTGATTGTTTATATTTTAATAAAGTAATTTGGTTATTTCAACAACCATTAGAAAGTTCAAGTGCCTATTAGTTATTTTTATGTTAAGGGTAGTTAAAAAAAATATGTTTTTTTTTATATATTCTTTTAAAATATGTAAAAATATATAGGGTGTCGTATTGAAAAAAAAATTGTGAATATTTTGAAAACCCGACTTTTAATTAATTTTTTGTTTTTGCCAATTTGGTCGGAAGAAAAATGTCATTAATTTGCTTATTTAACCGACTTTGTAGCTCTAATAATAACGGAGTTAAAATGGTAGCAATGGTGAGCAGATAACTTTGGACACGGTCTATATTATATAACCTTTAATCTTAAACATTAATTGGTTTAATTTTCATTATTATTAATAATTTAAATAGATTTTTAAATTTTATAACCTCTGTAAAACCAAACTGTAAAAACTCCCAGTTGTTTTAACCAAATACTAAAACTTGGGAAAGGTGAGATTTGCCAAATTTAAAAATGCCCAAAACCATTAAACCTTGGATAATAAGTGGGTCAATTTTTTAATGTCAGATTCACGTAAAATGCCTCCGAAAAAGATGATAGGTAATTTTAGCTACGTGTCTAAGCCATTGAAGAGATTCTGTCGCTGCCAATGAGTGTGAATTTCGGCGAGAATTGGCGCTTTGACTTTATCCTAAGGGAATTCGCCTAATATCGCAATGGTTAACATTTGGAATAAATCTTTAATAAAATTTTATATTTTTAGAAAATTTGCACGCTAAGGGGATGGTCGTCAGGAACTGAAAATTACAAGAAAACTTATGAAAGCATGATCCAAATCTGGGATGGATTAAGGCAGAGAGCTGATTCCAATAAGGATGGACAAGTATGTATGCCAATTTAAATGCTTGATAAGTTAAAAATATCTTAAATAAAAACATAATTCACTGAAGACTCATCCAAATATAAGGTAACTCAGTTTTAAAAAGTTTATGGGAATTACTTTTTAATTTAATTTAACTAATTACATTTATGTAAACTTTTTGATGTGTAACAATGTTAATCAAAATAAAATAGGGCATCATAAATTTTCATAGAACCATCTATACCATAAATAAGTATATCTGTACCCCAAAACCAAACTGTTTTAAGTCCACTTTTTAAAATCAAATTACATGTTTTTTGCCTACAAATTTTTTAAATATATTAAAAAATTAAAAAATCATATATCTGAAAAACCTCAACAAAAACAATATAACTTACTTTATGACAAAAATGTTTTATTTTTATTTTACATTTTAAAATAAAACTACATTTTAAGATGTGTATATATTTTACTTGCTTCAGATGTGTAAAGAAAAATTCTCGAAAATGTATTTTTAATTGTTTTATTTAAAACAAATATAAAACAAATTAATAGCAGTGACGTATTATATTTCTTAAAAATAACAGCCATATATAAATATATCAATAGCTAACCATTACTTTTATGAACGGATACACTCAGTTTAAAAAAAAACTGGAGAAGGGTTTTTTAGATATTAGGTTAAATTTGATGGTTGTTGTTTTTTATAATTTTGTCCTTAATTTGTTAACACTCTTTATCAGTTCGGTTCCAGCGCTTGAAAAGACACGTCGCGTGCGGGAAAGCTCTTGAAACGTAAAAGTTTAAAGATAAAACCAACAATAATTAAAATAAAAGTGCAAACTAATAAGTGAAACAAACATTTTCATAGAGTGCAAACTAAAATGGTGTAACGGTCATTGAGGAGTGAAGTGTTGAGTGATATGAATGAGTTAAGTGCCACCTGTCATTGGAGGCTTTTCACTGGACAGACAGGGGAGGTCAAACAAGAGGGGAGGTGGCCATCCGCAAAAAAAAAGCTGATAAGTTACTTTAAGAATATGCATGACCTGATACAAATCTGCAATTTAAATACGGCAGATCCCAGTAAACATTTTCCGTTATTTGTCACCATTAACATTGCCCGTTATTAATTTTATTAAACATAACATTTATTTATTTACTTGAAAATGTTAAATTAACTTTAAAATATGATTATGTTAAGAACATATTTTACTCTTTAAACAATTGTTTTGTTTTTAATTACTATCATTGCAAAATTGTATTAAAAAGTATTAAAAATTCTTACACGGGCAATGTTAATGGTGATGACTAGGGATGGGATTTTAGTTATTTTACCTTTTTTCAACCGATGTAACTATTTGAAAACCAATAATGCCAAAATGTGTTTTAAAAGATTTTCTTTTAAATGAACCTAACTTGTTTTCACCTTTTTTACCTTTTTTGGAGGTTTTTGCCTTAAACTACCTTTTTTATACTTTTGTTACCTATTTTTTTTAATTGTTTTCACCTTTTTTACCTTTTTTGGAGGTTTTTGCTTTAAACTACCTTTTTATACTTTTGTTACCTATTTTTTAATTTGTTAGTTTATTTTCACCTGTTTGTTACCTATTTTTACGTATTTTTACTTATTTTTTTTTTTTTCTTTTTAAATTTTGCGCCAATATTTTATCCAGTTCCTTATAGCTTTAATTAACTATTGATCAGTTTATAAAAAAAAATATTTTACGTTACTTTTTTTATAAAAATAAACGAAACTTGAACTTTTAATGTTTTTTTTTACCTAAAATGCTGTTTTTTTAACCTAAAATGCTTTTTTTTAGTACCTTTTTAGTTAACTATTTTTCAGTTTTTAGTACCTAAATATCCCATCCCTAGTGATGACCGTTAAGGTGTTTATTGGGATATCTTTAAAACCTATGAAAGGTACATGGCATGGGGCAATAAATCTGTCAACAACAAATGCGTAAGGCAATCCCAATCGAGACCGAAATAAACACTAGACTCACAGAATAAACTAACACATTAATCATAATTCTAACACATTAAAAAAAAAAGCCTAATAGCCAAACTCGAGATTTGTAAACATTAGACAACAGAATAATCGCGCTTGTAATTTGGTTAACTAATAAATAAATGCAATGCTTAATTTTGGAATTTAATAAAAAAAGACAAAACTCTAACACAAAACGTGCTTGGGACAAAATTTATTAAAAACAACTGACACACTTTACCAAGTGCAGGAACTATCTGACCAGGACACGGACAATGACAATAACGAACAAGACAAAGACCTCGACTAGGAAACTACACCCCTGCAGCGAAATAACAACTCCCCAACTCCAAATAGTAATCCCAAATGTTTGGAGTAATACTAATCGACTGGTGTAGGAGAATTCCGCGTCGTACTTAGTTTTAAGTCGGCGTAATTGTCCCCCAAAAACCAACACCCTCCCGTCCCTCCTCCATACCCCACTGAGCGTATAGCATAGGCTCGGCGAACCCGGGAATGGCTATTAAAACTATTCGCCTCTCGCTCTCGAGTCCCAAATAGGGGACAGTACGGAACGCAATGGACATTCGCACCCAGCAAACACGGGTGAAGCCGTGCAGTTGCTGGGGAAGAACAAAAATCGGCGTAAGTAAACATAGGCCTGTACGGGGTTCGAGAATCAAGAGGAAATGGGGCTGGTTATACGTCTCTTATACTCATACTCAATTTTTTAACACTCTTTATAAGCTAGAGTAACGAAACTAAGCAAATGTGTAGTTTGTTGAAATATTTACAAGATTATCCTAGGGTTTTTAGGTACCTACATATGCCAAATTAAGAAACGCTATTCGTTTTTAAATTTTAAAAATGCCTAACTTTTGAAATTGTTAGAGTTTTTTTAAAGCCATGGAAATGACATATGACAATTTTTTTTCTTGAAAAGATAGAGCTTTTCAATACTACAAACTGAAAAGAAAATATTTTAAAATCGAAATAAATTTAAATTAATACCGAATTGTCGCCAATCAAAATGTAACACACTGTATATATTTTAATAATCAAATTAAAAAATATTAAAAGCTTAACTTATTTTACTTTATAAAATAAAATAAAAACCCAACATTTTACAATTAAATTGACTTCTTAAAAATTGTTAAGCCTTTTTATTTTTCCAATTATTAAAAGTTAAATTAAGTATATGAACGAGTAAATTTTTAAATAAAAAAGTAATTTTCTTTTATTTTCCACGCTTAAACTAATTGAGTCTCTAAGGGCCGTATGCAGAAAAGTTGATTTATTTATATAAACTGATTTACGCATATCCACTGTTTTAAGTTTAAACCAATTTGGAAACATAGCAAATTTTAAGCGACAGTAAAGATTTGTAGGTTATCTTACATATACTTGTATACCACCAACGGTGGACTAGTGGTTAGTGCTGCTGACTACAAGGCGGAGGTCGTGGGTTCGAATCCCACCAGGGGTATGGCTGTTTTTTTGTGTTTGTCCTATTGTGTAATAGTCCTTCGGAGGGGACTTTAAGCCCGCGGTCCGTTCCTACCCCTAACCCGCACAAGCCATTCAGTTGGCTTCTGGGACTTCTTAGGAAGTAAGGGTGAAACTAAAAAGAGCACACTTTTGTATATGTGTTTATTACATTATAAGAGTAATACATTTTAAAAATGTATTATTAAATATACACATAAATACATAAATTATAACTGACTAAACCTTATTATAGCTTGGTTTGAAGAGGATTGCGGCAATATAAAACATACACAATTGAATTATGTTCGTAGTTTGCACTGTGTTCTGGTATAAGTAAATTTGCATTAGTAGAGTTATGAAAAATGAAAATTACGGCTTAAAGCCTCTGAAAAGAACACAGAAATGATGTTAAAATTGTCGGAAATTGTATTCAAGTGTTTGTTCTTGTAAAAGATTAATTAATTATATTATAATTATAAGAATTATATTATAGTTATAGAAATACTAGACCTGTTTCTAAATGATCTTTTACCTTTTTCTTTTATAGGTAGCAATAACACCTTTTAAGGCATTTAGAGGATAACATATGTTAGTTAATGCTTGATATACATAAATTAAGGCAAAAGGGAGCTATACTTAAAAATTGCATGTCCAGAAAAATTGTGCTGGAAAATGGGTGGGAGGTGGAGTCTCGAAACTCTTAGTAGCATGCATATCTATAGCTTACCCTTGCCTACCCCCTGAACAAAATCCTGGCTACACACTGCTGAGTTAGATATTTTATAAGGAAACATATAACTGCACTTTGGGAAAATTCTTATGACAGAATCGTATTTTAAATTAAATATATATAGATATATCAAATTTTTCACTCAATAAAAAGTGGCAAATATACAGAGTATCTGTTTAAAAACTTTATCAATGCTCAATAAGTCTGGACCTAAAAAAAGATATCAAAAATTTCTTAAAACCGTTTCTAGGATTTGTGGGGGAATCAGTGTGACCACAAAAATGACCTTCCCCAAGCAACTCCTGAGGCTGTATCCACCCCAACTTAATTTTTTTTAAATGACAACGCCCTCTTTGTGATACTTTATTAAAAAGCTATTTAAAATTGCTATTTAAAAGTACTAAAGAAAATACTTTTTAATTTTTTGAAAAATACGCAAAATCATTGTTTTAATTATTTATTCCAATTTCTTGTTGTAAATTTGTAAACCATTAAATATCAAATTAAACCTTTTTGCTGTCGTAAAAACTGGAGCACAAAATAATTCTAACAAAAGTATAACTAACTAAAAAAGCCTAAATAAACAAATTGTTCAACAATAATCAACTTTTATAAGTATATTTATAATTATTAAACAATTTTAATCGTTAATGGAATCAGATTTATAAAAACTAAAGCTAAAACAAAAAATACTGCTTGGTATTCATGCTGATTAGTTTTAATATATTAAGTAGTAATGTTTCTTTTTCAACGGGTGAACGTGTTGAAATTATTTTTATTTATGGTGCACAAAATGGTTGTGCTCTACGA